AATTGTGCAAAGATATTCCATTCCCCTTCCGCATGATCCAGTCCGAGCTCTACCGCGCGTGCGTCTTTCCGCGGCATCTCCCACGACTCCAGGCGAGACACCGCACGCACTCGTGTCCGTCAAGCAAACCCATCGAGATGGGATGCGCGTACTGACTGATGAGTAAACCACATCAGTCTTCCACACCTGCAACACCGTTGACGACTTGGCGTATGGCGGATAGATGGATGGCGCCGATAATCTTTGGATGGAATGAGGTGGACGGGGTGGACGGTTCAAGGCGACGAATGCAGAAGTGGACGTGACAGATGGACGGAGAAATGCTCGATTCGGGAAACACATGTAAGCCGAACAGAAGGGAGTGTCCCAGCTCCAATATGCAGCCCAGCGAGGGAAAACGCGGAGAGACCCGCGCACAACCACCATCGTCGAAATAAGCTTTCATAAGGCCCCGCTAGTCAAATTTGTGGTCTCTCGCGCTTGGGTTCACCCTGCAGTATCTTCAAGGGGGAAGCCGCCAAGCAAGCTTCTACTCAAATATCCGTAACACAGCTTGGCGAATTAGACCGAAAGTCTGCTCTTCCTTTTGACCCCTTATCCGCGGCTGCAGCACTTTCCAATACGATGATTCCGTTACCTTGCAGTGCCTGCTTCCGAAGCTGAAGGGAGCTGTGTGGGCGCGCGTATGAGAAACGGAACTCTGCTCATCTTGGCCTCTTCAAACTCGTCGACATTTGGCGCGTCGATTTCGAAAGTTGGGCTTCAGCTTTTACCATCGAAAGTGTCTTTCTGTTCGTTATGAGGTGTCTGGTTTTCTTGGGATGCTGACTGTCGGCATGTCAAGCGATTGGCTGAGTTTGTTTTGTTGTTTCTGAAGAGCTGCCCAGTCGCGCAAAATTGCCACTTGCTGGGCGATTCTTGGCTACCCCGAACGGTTCGTCGATCACAGCATCGTTACACAGCTTGGCAGGTACATAAAGTGTTGTCAATGATAATGGATCAATGATAATGGTATTTCATAATTCATCGTATACATGACGCGGTGGTGTGCTTGCGCCTGACTGTCTGTCTACTTTCCTGTGCCAATTCGTGTGCTGGAGTTGTTAGTGTTGTTATCGTGTTTGACTCGCTGAGCCCGTCCCCTTCTCCCCAACCAATTGTCCGTTCAATATGAGATGAGCCAAACAGGCATTAGAAGTGTTCGTTTTGTGGTCAAGATCACATCCGATCTTTGTCCTTGACCGGGTCTTCAAACATCCAGATGTTCGTGCTCTCAGGTCTTGCCTTGCCTTTACTGGATTGCGCGTATTTGTCGATAGGACTTGGGTGGGACTTGTCGGGGCTCCGTATTTCCTTCAGCTCCAACCCAACGACTCTCTCAAGGTCCTTTGCTTTGAAGTCTCCCGTCATCGGTGTTCCATCTTGTTGCCATGGTGGTGTTTCGTACCATAAATCGGGGTGCACTGTGGAATTGCGCCGGCGCTTGTTGAACAACTTGGGAAACCACTGTCTTAGTTTTGCGACTACTCTGTTGAAAAGCTCATCTGCTAATGGCCTGAATCCTGGGATGGAGAGTGCGATGAGCGTCGCACCGATTTCGGACACTTCAATTGCGAGAAGCGGGCTGTAAATCCATGACTGGTCTGGTTGCCATTGACCGTTGATAACTAGAATGAGACGGGCAATTGAAATGGCGACGACACTTTCAAAAGTCAGTAGGTGTGTAATCTAGGGGCAAGCTAGTCACCACTCACAAAATCCCGGGCAGAAGAATGCAAGCAAGCTGAATCTTCCTCTTCCTTGTCATTTCCAACATCCATAACATCGCTACGGGTATTCCGAAGAGCACAAAGTCGCAAAGCAACGAAACCGCCGAGTTAATTCCGTAGACAAAGCCCCATGGAAGGCATTTGTACTGGTTGAATTGTGACTGCCATTCGTAAGGCCATATTGCTGTCACGGGAAGACAATGGAATATGATCAGGAGCATCTGCGTGATGTAGCCGGCGATCAAAAATAGTCCGGCTCCCTTGATTGCGAGGAGGAATCGACTGTGGACGCCGCACACTCGGTAGTAAAAAGCTAGACCCGAGAACCGGCAAACGAAGAGAGCGCTTGTGTAGATGAGGTGGGCGGTGAAGTCAAGAATCTCCGTCTCTTCCAGAATTTCTTGGGTCATGACGAACTGGATGAATTCAAAATGTCGACCAGAGCCAATGTTGATGAGGATGATGCACAGTGGAACGAAGGCTATGAACATTGCCTGGGCCGTTGTCAGCTTCAGTTTCCTTTCCGGACACCGTGTTCAGCTAGCTCACCATAGATATCACTGCTAGCGTGTCGTCTATCCCAAAGGTTTTCCGTAGAAAGAATCGTGAAAAGGCGCGACCGTTGACAATCACCAACGTAATGGCGAACATGAAAATTGACGCATCCATTGAAGGTCCGTCTCTGTCTTCCTCCAGGTATGCGAGGCTGATTTCCGGTGGTACACGACCGGCCGCGACGGCCGCGGCGGCCTCTGAGTCGCCCATCATCTTGATGGTGACCGGTGAGATGTTGACAGTCTGGTTAAAGGTGTCATGCGGGAAGGAGAGATGTGCATCCTCGACGATCAGGAACAGGAACGCACAAGTCCTCGGATGATAAACTGCTTCCCACCCAAAAGCTTTATGTTGTTGCACTTCTCTCTTCGCCTCTTGCTGCGGAATAATGCAACCTTGCATCTTGAGTTGGGATCTGATCGGATGACACAGATTCCCCAACTCTAAATACAGCAAGGATAGGCAACGGTGCGGAAGTTGGTTTGGTGTGCCTGGCCTGGCGAGTGAGGCTGCCAAGAAGGTTGGCGCTTGTGTCTGGACTGAAGAAAAGCTTAGGAAAGCTTAACTTGAGCGTTTGTAACCAACGTCCGTGCCATCGGCAGTTGGCAGGTTTTTTGCTACGGTTGAGCGCAACGGCGATGCGTGATGTCATGTTTCTGGAATGAAAATGGTTGATACGTCGCATTTTCCTCTTTACTCAGTGATGGACCTTCTTGTATGATGGTATCGAGATTGATAACATATGGGTAAGGGGAGACGGCTAATGCGACATGGCAGAGAATAAAGGTGTCACATAATACTTTGGGAAACTCCCGTTAGCCGTTGCACAGCTTCTCAATGGTTGCATTTCGGAAGTGAAAGGCTGAAGCCAATCGGGAGATCACGTACGCGATCTCTTAGGACTTTCGGACAACTAGGGGTGACCTTTGAAGTAGTCAAATCCCGAGTCTGAGAACTTGTCACGCTGCAGGGGTCCACCCATCTTCCAGATCAAGTGTTCGTTGCTTCGATTCGAGGGTGTTGTCGAAATGAGATAATCGATACGCAGTGTGGGTAGTACCGAAGGTTTTTGTTCGGGTTTGCCCATTATGTCTTTTGTTAAGGGCCAATTTGGACCATTTCTGTTGGAGCTTCCAGACGACTCATTGCGGCGGCAGATTCTGACAAGAATGTTCTGGCCCTTTGTGCTCGTGCCACGAGGAACGGTTTTTGGCGGTTGCCGCAGAGCAGTGCATGAGCTTCTTCGTTCTCTCGTGGGGTATCAGACGAGAGGAACATTCGTCTCGAACGTCTCAGACGAACAACGCTAGAGCAATTGGACTGAGTCCAAGCAGCACCGAACAGCGAAAACGAAGTCAAAAGACTTTTCCTGCCCATTCCTACTCTCAGAAGATTTAAAGAAGCCCGAAGTCGCCGTTCTATATCGCTGGTTCGCGGGCTCCGAGTCGGCCGTCGTCCGATCTCGTTGGGCAAGAAATACGCGGTTGCCAAAACACTGAAGCTGAAAAGAGTCGGGCTTCCGAATACGAGAGTCATAGATTTGTGGTATGAAGGTCGAGTCTGACTCTTGTATTTGTGATCAGTGCACGCTCCCGTGCAGTGGAGTTCTGACAGCCTTGATCTCAGAGGAAAGGCCGGCCGGAGTGTTCGATCGGCCTCCGTAAACTCCGCTGTTGGGCAGTCCGGGGCTTCTTTCTAAATAGACCTCTCAAGACTACCTTCCGTACTCAGATGGAAGGTGAACTTGACATGAGTCGCTTCCGATGACATTGCAGTGACTCCCGCCTGGGCGATGCACTCAGGAATCAGGGAACCGGAGCGACAGACCTGTTTCTGGACAGCTTGTCACACTCTTACCAGTGCGATACCCGAAACTTTTTCATATTGGGACAAACAGTTGCGCGCAAAGGTTTCGTAGTTTTCCTGTAGGCCAAATAGTAATCAAGATCATGTTTCAAAGTGGCAAGCAGGGGGGCAACTTACCTTTCTCGTGTCCCTCTTGAACCGTTCAATAACTCGCTAATGATTTGAAGACGCTCATATATCTCGCTTCAGATCCAGTAGACCTCCAGTCTATTCTCCAGGCCAATGGTTAGATGGTACGGTATGGTGGTTTGTGGAGGAAGTTGAGCCATTGTGGATTTGTAGGGACGCAACTGGATGTTGAGGTAGCCCAAGCCGGGACTCCAGTAAGAAGGAGGTAGCCTTTTCTGTGGGGGTCCATGTTAGGTTAGTTTTCGTTCCTACCTAAGTCCAAGGGGAAAGAATTTGGACTTTGTTGGTGAACTCCTGAAGGGAAGGTACGACCTGTCACCCAGTCAATCAGCTCCTTCCCAGGTAGGGAAAAGTGAAGCTGTGGATCCCATCATGAGGGCCCGTGCTTGGCAGTTGTTGTTGCCCTTACTCACTCACTCACTCCCTCCCTCACTCTCTCACTCACTTTGCACACAACTTCTCACTGCGGTAATCAGAGACGTGGAACTCTTCTTTCGTCCAGTCTCCTGAGAGCCTCTTTTACTGCAACTGCATTTTTGCATTCTTTGAATTTATCTTGTTCACCACCCAAGTCTTCAAATACACACGACCCCGGGCCAACCGCATGAGGCCATCGCCTTCAAGGTAAAGTATTCCACAGATATTTCAGCAAACGTTATCAACTGACCAAGTGTTCACCAGATGGCCGACATGAGATCCCAACAGATGGACGTTAAGAGAGAAGAATCTTGCGACATCCCCCTCCCGAGCCGCGAGTTTAGCCGTGAGCTCTCCTTACCATTCCGACCATCCCCAGCCGTAAGTTCTCATTTCGGCGCTTATATCATGCACATACTGATATAGTTCACAGCTCTCTACTCGATCACCTTCTGCGGCTTTCTCCAGCGACCTGGCTCCCAACAGAAGCGCTAGAAAGATCACGGTTGACCCCGAGATTCGCCGCGTTCAAGCATACCTGAAGTTTCCCGGCTTCACCCTACCCGATGTCATCATCAGCAACAAGGACAGGAAGTTCGTCACTCTCCTAGGTCTCAAAAGAGACCTTGTCGTCCCCAACTCTCCCGACCTTCCTATTCACCCGGATCACATGCAGCACTCTGTTGCTCTGAAGGTCGAAGAGATCTTCTGTGCTGCCAACGGAGTTCTGTACGTCATGGGAAGATCCAGAGTGACCAATCGTCAACTTTGGGCAAAGGTTCAGCGCATCCTGGCAAAGCGCAATCCGGCCTAGGAGGCCAAGGTTAGCGACAACCGAATGAGTGACCTCATCAACACGTATGCCCGTGGTCGGAAGGACTACCTTGCCGACGAAGCGAACCCTAAGTACCCGCGGCTGGCTGACCGCCAGAACTGTCGCCTTATAAAGGCAGTCGACCAGTGGATCGCATCTCACGAGCTAGACGAGTCGGCCTCCTCCAACTTGTTGTGGTTCGATGCCAAGAATCGCTGGGTCGAACTGCATCAAATCAGGACCATACCGGGCCGAACCTGGACGGCTGAACAGGTGGCTTGGCAGCGTGAAGACATCTCTGCTGGTCGTTACTCTATGGTTTAACCAAAGATCAGGGGACTCTGTGGCGGAATTACGCGATGGTATCTCGACTGGGAGTGTAAATTGGAGGAAGTCTTGACTTTATGGGCCTTTAAGAATTTCACAATCGCATCGCCTTTCTATGATGCAAATAAATAAACATCACCTTAAGGACAAAGAAATTGAGATCCATGTGCATTGTATGAAATGGCTGTGTGACTTTGTCTGTATTCACTGTCTCTTTGCTAGTGTAGCGGCAACACCGGGCCTTCAGTGGTCAAGACAAGGTGCCCATGACTTAAGTGAACATCGCAAGATGTGTAAAATATCCCTGCTCAAGTACATGATGAAGAATGTCACATTCTTTTGCTTGAGCCTCAGTCATTCTCGTTAGAGTGCTAAAGCACTGAACAGAATCACTTCTTTCACATACACATACCCTTTCACATTTTCATGTTGCCATTTTTTCCAATCTTTGTCAGTTTGAAGTGCTTGCCATTGATTGTGTACTCTATGGAAAGGCCTTTGTAAGCCTCAAAAAGGTACCCGGCGTATTTGGGTCATTCCTGAATGATTTTTGCCTCTGACTACCATAAGCAAGCCATCAGACAAGATGCAGTCAAGAACTAGTCCTCCCTCAACGTCGGGGCTTCTTTCCCCAGGCCTCGAGGTATCCGTTGATCCGGCCGAGAGTATTGGCACGGCTGCGTTCAGCACGCCTCATCGCGTCACGAGCCTCCAAAGCCTCCTCATAGGCCGCACGCTCCTCAGGGGTGGCCTGCACGGCTCTCTCAATACGCGCCTTCTGCGCCTCGTCCTTTGCCTTCTGAGCAGCAGCCTTCTGAGCAGCCGCCTCCAGGCGCTCCTTCTCCTCCCGCTCCGCCTGGTATTGGGCCTCGAGGCGCTGGGCTTCCTTGATATGAGCCTGGCGCTCTTCCTGGATGCTGGCATGGAGACGCTGCATCTGGGATATACCCTGGTCGGCAGCAGTGGCGGTGGTTCCAAGGGCAGGTTGGGTAGAAGGGCCCGGCTTGGTGTTGTCCTTGTTCTCCGGATTCATCTCGTGAGTGATAGCGAGATCATCGGAAGTCGCGTTGGGAGACATCTTATATCGCGACTTTGTGTGGTCTTTTCACATGAAAATTAGCTTCAGACAATAGTTGAAATATCATCTAGCAAAGAGCTTCTTACCTGGACTGAGGTGTGTAGATGAATCGATTGAATAGGATGGCGTTGCCGGTTGCTGTTCAGGTGGCAACTGGCTGCTTGGGCTAAAGTCGGTGATGATCTCGCAGCTGTTGATGTGGGAAGGAAAGAAGGTGCGTCGATGAGAAGCCGCGAGAAGAGATGGCAGCAAAGCAGCGATGATAAGTAGGATGGATGAATGAGGCGCACAAGCGGGTGCCGCGAGAAGACTAAAGGGTCGACTGAACACTCGAAGGCGAAGATGAGGGAGTGTGAGTGGGAAGTGATCCAAGGTGTGGTGGGAAAAGATGGGCAGCTCACAAAAGGTGAAGATTACCTTAGGAAAGAAGGCCCGGGGCGGTCAAAAGTGCGCTAGCAGTAGGGCTCAACCCATCTAGAATATGACTCCTGAATACTCCCAGGAAGATTCCATTCACAGTCGCCCCACTTTGCCTACGTGCGAGAAATATGATCAGGTTGACTTTGGAAGGTACCAGCCCGGAGGCGCCTTCCCTAAGTACGGTCCATGGGTTTAGCCCTCTGAAGCTTTAGCTCTCACGGTAGGTAGCCTATGTTTCCATCGGCGGTATAGGTACTCTATATGGAACTTCCAGTATCATGAGAGAGAAACAGTCGTCAACATGACTTCAGCATTTCAGAGGTGCTTTCCGATTACCGGGCAGAGTATGTGGTGAACCAAAACTAGCGTGAACGAAACAACTGCTCAGAGGATGAATGGCAACTCAAAATCGGTGATTTGGTAACCGTTTCCCATTCAATTATATCTCTCTTCGTCTTAGATACGTCTTCAACCTTAACAGCGCTGGAACTCTTGCCTATTTATGTCCGTCCTTGAAGCAAAGGTGCTCACTCAAGAGCTTGCAGGTCAAGGAGGGGAGAACAACATCTTGTATCAATCCCTGAGCCATTAACGAAATGAGGAACACACAATTGGTTTCCAAAGTAAATGACTAACTGCCAAGCCAAACGTCAAAGAGCGAGTACAAACAAGGCATCACCAAAATCGCGACACTGGGCCCAAAGCGGCGGAACTATTCAATTCTGTATCATATCTTGCAGAATTCTGTGTTTCTCGGTCTTCAATGCCGAGCAATCACGTCATCCCTGGTAGTAGACATTTCCCAAGGCCTCGCTTAGACACTGTGAATGGTGGAAATACGTTCACCCCAACAACCACCGAACCAACAATACGTTAGGTAATAGTTTGCATGGCAACATTGCAAAGAGGATCGCCATCCCCAGACCCCCCACAACATGTATCCACAATCTTCTCCGGATTCCGCTCTCTGCTTAAATACTTAAGGGTCCGTTTGCCAGAATTAGAGTTGGCAGCAAGCAAACGATGCATCCCCATCCCGCCGGCTTCTTGGGGCAAGCTACAGTATCTTTACGCATAGACGTTTTCCGAAGTTCTCCCCCCGCGTTTTCGCGTCCAAACTACAGATGGAGAAAGCGGCTTCCTCGGAACCAGGGCCCGAGACCCATCAAAGCCTTTCCGACCCCCACCAGCCAGACCGGTTCGAGGAAAGGCGCATTTCCTCCGCATTCCACCCCCGCACGGATCTGGAGAACCATCCCGAGAGGCTGGCGGCCACCGCGGAGGGTCTCTCGACAACGACATCCGTAGCAGACACCGGTGCGAACCCGGATGACTACCCCGAGGGCGGGAGAGAGGCTCTAATCGTACTCTTTGGAGCTTGGTGCGTTCTGTTCTGTACCTTTGGCTTGGGAAACAGCATTGGCGTCTTTCAAACGTACTACGTGACCGATGCCCTTCGCGAATACAATTCATCCACCATATCATGGATCACCAGCTTTATGCAATGGACTCTAAACTTCATGCCCATCGTCGTAGGTCCCTTTACCGACGCTTCTTCAGCCAACGGCCGACTAATGTCAAGCCTAGTGGGGCTTCGCCTTTGATAAATGGGGTCCACGATGGCTTCTCATCTGTGGATCGATAACCTACGTCTTCGGTATCATGATGGTCTCTCTAGGATCCGAATACTTCCACTTCTTCCTTGCCCAAAGCATTGTCTGTCCCATCGGCGCCAGCGCTGTAACGAGCGCGAGCATGTCTTGCCTCGTAACATGGTTCCATCGCCGCCGCGCGACGGCTTTTGGGATAATGATGTCCGGGTCATCCGTCGGTGGCGTCATTCTGCCCATCATGATTCCAAGAATGATTGACAGTGTTGGATTTCCGTGGGCGATGCGTACCGTCGGCTTCATGTTCCTTTCTCTTCTTGCGATTGCTTGCTGTACCGTAAGATCCCGCCTGGAGCCACAGACAAAGCCGGTGGATATGAAAGAGTACTTCCGGGGCATTCGGGAACCTACAATGATGTCTACCGTCTTTGGGCTGTTCTTAGTCTTTTGGGGATTATTTGTTCCGTACGCCTTTGTCATTCTACAAGCCAAGGCACAGGGAATGGACGACGGCCTGGTCATTTACTTACTGCCCATCATGCATGCCGTAGGGTACGTCTCAGAATACCTCCTTCACCGCCTCAGAGAACACCTACTGACTTTCCCAACCAGCTTAATCGGACGCGTCATCCCAGGCCTCGTAGCCGACAGAATAGGCCGCTACAACATCATGATCATCCTCGCCACCCTCACCGGCATCGCGTGCCTGGCCCTCTGGATCCCAATCAAGAGCAACGCCGGCATCCTAGTCTTCACAGCGGCCTTTGGGTTCCTCTCGTCGGGGTTAACGTCCATCGGTCCGACGCTGATTGCGCAGATCTCGGACATTCGAGAGATTGGCGCCAGAACTGGCACCGCTTTTGCGTTCCAGTCTTTTGGTGCACTTACGGGGAGTCCTATTGCGAGTGCGATTGTCGATGCGCGGGGAGGGGATTACTTGGGTCTCCAGCTGTTTTGCGGGTTTTCGATCCTTGCTTCAGCGGGGGTGTTTGCGTCGGCGCGGTATGTTCAGGCTGGTGGGTTTGAGCTAAAGAAGGTTTGATGGGGATGTTCACGTAGTCATTTTTTTGCATAAAGCATCCTTAGATGGACGCGTGAGGTCATTCAGTCATAGACCGTGAGAAAGGCAGATGTGTTGCTAGACCAGGAGCTTTTGCTACGTATCACACCCATAGACTCTGATTAGACCAGTCGAACGCCTGAAAGCCGTTATCCCCGACCCTTCCTTTGTCTGATGGTACCAACATGAACAACAGTGACCATTCCATCTTCCTCCAACGAGATACCGGCATCGAGACGTCTTGGTGTACAAATCAGAAGTCTGGGATGTCGTGCTTGTCCTTGTAATCATCAAGGTCATCGGCAGTCCACTCCACATCGTCGCCGCCTCGAAGAGCCTCAAGTTCATTGAGCTCGTCGAAGATGTGGGCGAAAAGCATCTCCTGGCCGGAGATGCTGCCGCGGTGCTCGGCGGCCTCGATCTCAGCCATAGCATGAGTAACAGCGCCAGTGATGGTCTGACCCAGGGCATTGGCCACGGCAGCGGCCGCAGCCTCGACGTTCTGGTCCTTCACCTTCTGGTTCTCGTCCTTCGTCTTGTCACGCTCATCCTTCATCTTGTCACGCTCATCCTTCATTTTGTCATGCTCGTCCTTCATCTTGTCATGCTCGTCCTTCATCTTCTCGCTCTGCTTCTGAGCGGTCTCATACTTGGCTCTGAGGGCCATGATGTCGGTCTGGGCCATCTGAGCGGCTTTGTTGGCCTGGTCGGTCTGCTGAGTGATGGTCTCAATGACCTTGTCATTGGCGTTGAAAGCATCAAGTGCGTCCTGAATTGTTTTGGTCACAGCAGCCTGGAGCTGGTCTGCCGAGGTCTGGAGACCGTTGCTGATCTGATCACTCTGCTGGTCGCTGTTCTGGAGTGCAGCGAAAGCATCCCGGATCATCTGGTCTGCAGTAGACTGAAGATGGTTCGCCGAGATCTGAAAGGCAGACGGAACGGCGGACTGGGCAGGGGCGACCGGAGCAGCAGGAATCGCGGGAAAGGAGCTAGAGGAGCCCGTTTGGCCAATTCGATCAATGTTGAAGCGATCAACGAGGTCGTGGAAGGTCTTGTAATGCTCGCAGTCGGGAGGAGCGGGGATGACGGTGAGCTCGTCGATGAAGCGCTTGCGAGCGTCTCCGATGGCGATCATGACAGCCTGGACGTGATGATTCTTGACGTCCGGAAACTCAGCCCATCTCTTCTCCTTGACCAGGCTTCGCAGCGCGGGGACCCAGGCCAGATGGTGATTCTGATCGACCAGGGCGTTCCTGCCGTTGCTGGCAGTAGCGACGACCTTGAAGTACGCGGCGAGAAGATCAGCGCCACGGCGCGCAATGAGCTTGGCCATGTCGCGGGTGGGAGTGGGAGTGTCGTTCGCGTAGCCCTGGGTGAGGAGCTTCAGCTGAGGAGTGCCCGGCTGCGCGATGATGCGACCGTTGTCGCCGACCTCGAAGATGAGGCCAGGAATTCGGGTGAGGGCAATCTGGTCGGCGCAGATGGGAGCTCCCTCGCCAATACCCATGCCTCCAGAGCCGGAGATAATCATGCTGCTTCTGAACGACATGATCTACATGAGATTAGTACTCGAAGACCGGACGGAGAAATCTGGGTGAGGGATCAAATTACTTTAGTCTTAAGTCGGGATGGTTGATGCAGACTGATCGGTTCTCGGTTGAGTCGAAGAAGGTCGCGGGGATAAGATGAGAGAATGGTATCAAATAGAGGAAAGGTGCGATGAGTTTTGCGATGTTGAGGTGATGCAAAGTCGCGGCGTTGAGGAGGATGGGTGGAGGGGAAGGTTCTGTGGGAAACAAGAAGTGAGGTCAGGAAAGGTTGAATGTTGTGGGAAAATTTGAAAAGTCCGGGAGCAGGACTACAGGCGGTGAGAGGGAATATCCAGAGCATTACGTGCGTTGACCGCCCAGACTATTCAGAAGTGAATATAATTTGGCTCATTCCGACGCGTTGGGCGTCTTCACTTGTTGTTCACCTGTCAGACCGCGTGTTTGAGTGAAATCAGGAAGGAGCCATCCGATCCACACCAGGTGATACCTGCCCAAGAAGTTCCCAAAGTCAAGAGATTCTTATTATGCCCAGACTCGAGCCAAAACTGTTGCAAGCCCAGGTTTGCCAATTTCTTTGTCGTTTCATACAAACAAATGTCGAAGTGTTGAAGTTGAACGTTGATCACTTTACATATTTTCAATAACCCTTCACTCTGTACAACAGGCGACTTCCTGCACCCCAATTAATAATTGCTATCATTATGTCGCCAGAAATCTCTGCAGACCTCCTTTAAGCGCGCTCAGCTATGTCTGTTGGTGATTTGCTAATGGCCAAGTACTGCTAGAACACGGTCTATATAGATCCCAGAATCCCCAGGGAGCTTCGACGTATAGACTCTGGAACGGGGGGATGGGACACTCCTGGCGCTATGACTTTGTCACTCACATTTAGCATATGATTCTGCTCCTTTGGATCATTTCACATGTCCACCATGTCATTTTGAGATCCTCTTCCAAGAGCTTTGCCGGGCGAAACATTTCTTCAACCTTTGTGACCAGCACGGCGAGGAAGAACGGCCACTATCGAATCACAAGACGGAGAAATTGTTTGCTCCCATCACTTGCAAACGCTGCTCGAAAAGGCAGGTCAGGTTAGTTGGCGTATCGTACCTTACCTTAGGTGATAGGTTGAGCCAACAGTCGAGGCAAGAGGCAATCCATGACCACGTGACAAAGTACCTTAGAATACTCACCATGCAGTCGCATCGTGACTGCCTAGTATTCCTATGGAGTGGGGAAGGGGGCATATAGGGACAAAAAATGCTCAAAAAGTCAACCCAGTAGAGAGGAAGATGTTTTCACCCTGGAAGTGACTTACCGCCGGAATATGGTTGAACGGTTGACGTCCCGTGGAGACTGGCATTCGATTGCCCAATTTGTATGGCCATCTGGAAATCTCGTGGGTTCGAATCACCCTCAAGGCCCTGCGCCCATTTTTTCTTCCCATGCTCCCGAGCCTGGTTCCTTACTTTGATTGTTCCTGTCGAATTGCCCCCATTCTTGATAATGGACGGTCTTCTTCTAGTCTTCTTTGTTCCTTGATATGAACAGCCTCTTTGGTGCCCATCACGTCGATCCAACTCCTCCTCCCAGTCGTTAATCTGTACGGCTTACGGAGTACATATGATGTGGTTGACCAAAGTCCCATCGCATGGAGATGCACCCCGAAGAAACGGTCCGGGGCGTGGGGCCAACTTTACCCAAAAAGCCAATACCCCCGGCCGTCATTTCCTTGGCTTCTGCGCGCCGAAGACCCACCTCCCGATAAGCTCTCCTCCGTCTTGGCAAAAGCAGATGGAACATCCGCATGGTGTCTTGCCGAGTGTTCCTTCAAACCGAAAACCCGACAGTATGGATCGCGTATCTCGCTATTGAACTTCCAGCAAGATATTACCGCAACGCCAAAGGACACGCTCGGTTTCGCTCCACTATCAACCTTCGGACTGAGACCCTGGGCCTTGTGGATTACCATCTCCACGGATCCATCCCGCCAATGTAACCACATCTCCGCCCCTTGAAGAATCCCTCAAACCAGCAATCTCGAGAAATGGAGCCCTCAAGGAACCTCGACTTCTGGGCGGCCGCCATTAAAAACCCCAGTCGACGGCCCCCGTCATCACCAGATACTTAAGAACCGTATTCCCGATCTCCCTCTACCGCAGCGTCGCAGTCGATCCGTCTTGCCACCAGTTCCCCTCAACCTTTGGCTGTTGCTCTCTCTGCAAAGATGGTCCGCCTCTCCATCGCCTCAGTCCTCTCCCTCGGCGCCGTGGCCACACAGGCCCTAGCCGCAGGAAACTGCACCGGCGTCAACGCAATCAGCACAAAATGCGCCTCAAAAGAAGCCGCCCACACCCGCGACTTCTTCTACGTAGGAGGCCGCTACATCGAGACAACCTCAGGAAACGTCACAGTCGACCAGCTCTACGTCGAAAAGCTAGTCCCCGTCACCACCAGCCACACCCGCCGCCGTCGTAGCACCGTCACAACACCAAAACCAATCGTCTTCTTCCACGGAGGCGGAACAACAGGCGTAACATGGCTCAACACACCCGACAACCGCCCCGGTTGGGCAACCTACTTCCTACAGCAGGGCCATACAGTCTACCTAGTCGACATCGCCGCCATCGGCCGCTCGACAGAGAACAACCTCGCCAATTTCACCATGATCGCCGGCACGGCGGCCGAGGGCGTGGAAAAGGGGTTCACGCACGTCGAGGCTTACAACGCATACCCGCAAGCTATCCTGCACACCCAGTGGCCCGGGACCGGACAAAAGGGAGACCCGACGTTTGACCAGTTCAAAAAGACGATCCTCCCGCTATCTACAAGCTGGGTTCCGCAGGAATACGCTCTCCGCGCGTCAGGCTGCGAGCTTTTGTCATTGCTGGGCGAGAAAGCGTATCTCATCTCGCACTCCATCGGTGCCCGCGCCCCGATCTTGCTGTCGAACGATTGTCCGGAGTACATTGCGGGAAACATCAACCTCGAAGGCACGACCGTACCCTTCTGGTCATTCGAGAGCCGCTCAGCGACGAACGCGTGGGGGTTGACGAACACGCCTCTCGACTACGATCCGCCCATCGCCAGCGCGGCTGAGCTTGAGACCGAGGTTGTCGGGAATGATACGGCTGCGCACCGGAGTTGTTACCGCCAGAAGGAGCCGGCGCGGCAGCTGCCCAAGATTGCGAGCGTGCCGTATTTGATGGTTACGACGGAGGCGAGTGTGCATGTTACGTATGACCACTGTACGGTGGACTATCTGAAGCAGGTTGGTGGGCAGCCGGAGTGGATTAAGCTGGGGGAGATTGGGATTCGTGGGAACGGGCATTTCATGCATTTGGAGAAGAATAGTTTGGAGATCGCGGCGGTGGTGAATAAGTGGATTCAGGAGAAGGAAGGGGCTTGATGCCACAGCGAAGAGAGCGGTGTGTCGCCCTTCCCGAAAGAACGAGGAACATGGCTGAGTTGGGGAATAAATGTCGAGCTTGAGAGGCCCATGGGTTGCTTCAAATGAGTATGCCGTGTCAATCTGTGACTTTGATACCATCGAAAGGGATTAAGTCACTCCCGGACCTGAGGGCTATTTTCATAGATGGATTGCTCTGATTTCTCATCGATGCGGGAGGCCCGCGCTCACCACCGACAGTACGCGCTCACTACCGACAGTAGACAAGTTTTCAGAATGCTGCAAGACCATAGACTGCCAGTCCCATCTCAAAGCTCAGGCCATGATGTCGAGAAGAGGATAACATCTAGATCGGGATGGGCCTTCATGACATCGGGGCATCCATACCCAATAAAGTGGTTCTTGGGGTTGAAGGATGGGAGGGCTCATGAAACTGTCTAAATTAATTCAGCAAATATGGGAAAGGATATTTCAGGCGACAAAACAGCTAGTTCAAAACGAAAGTGATAATGTATACCAGCGCGGATTGGCAGAGGTTCGGGACCCGGAAGATGTACGGCGATACTCGCGCCGACGTAGTGTAGGGACGTTTGCCCGCAGCAAGGGGGGAAATAGGGGGTTCTTGAACTGTTTTCGGCTCAGCACCTTGAGAGAGGGGACAATTGTCCGCACGAGGAAGGATTATGGTAGAGATTGTAAGGTTGGGAAGAATAGGTCTGAGTGTGACCGTCATTGCTTCGGTTCTGTCTGATCTAAATACATCTCGTACCTGGCACAGATGCCAAGCTATGAATACTTTGATAAATATGAAGACAATGTTGTATAGAAACAAAGGGAAAAGAAGTCGATTTGAACCACCCAGGGATATCACACGCTAGATCCTGAAAGAGTATATATCATGAAAACACATCCGTCATCGTACAGCCACGTCAAGGACAACTCTTAGATATGGGGCACCACCGTCTGCGACCACACCGGCAGGAAGATGAAAATCAACGTGCTCAAAGACGCAAAAATGGCACCGCCAACCATAGCCTGGAGGACAATCTTGTGCTGCAGCCTGCGCAGATGGACGTCCTTGACACGAATCTTGCGATCAAAGATCATCATTCGCGACACAAACTTCATGAGACCAGAACGTTGAGATAGAAGAGAGGCGCTGTCGTCGAAGCGTTCCCAGGGCAGGGGCTGGCGTCTCGTGAAGAGCAACAGGAAGAAACAGCTACCTCGCAGACCTGAGAAGATGAGCGACATGCCGACAAACCACATTGGCCAGGGTGCAAAAGCATTCCATCGGCTATTGGCACCCATGAAGGGAACAAAGGCCTTGAGGAGCACGCAAAGGAAGCCGCCGATGGTGAGGGCGATGCCAACGCTGGTGGCCATGCAGAGAGTCTCAAAGGTCCCGTTGGAGACACCGAGGCGGACGAAGTTGCGGTGGGAGCAGTTCTTCAAGAGTCCGTACACGTGATCTGCGATTGGCTTGAGGTGGATCGGATCGGAGGAGTGCTGGAGGTTGAGGAGGGCGGTATCACGAAGCGCAGGCGGGATGTTGAGCTCCTTCTCGGCTCCAGGAACGAGGAACGTGTTCACGACGGCGTTGAGCTCGACGCGGTATGCTGAGTTCGGGGCGATGCGAGTAGGGATAACGGCCGGGACGTTGTTGGCGCAGATGGGCTTCGCGCAGGCGTTGGCCCAGGACTTGATGCGGTCGCGACCGTTCGGGCCTACTTTGCTGTTGGGCCTGCATGCGGCTTCCGGAGCGATGAGGTGAACGATGTTGGTCATGGTCTCGTTGGCTTTGGACAAGTTAGCAACGGCTGACGATGTACACAAATGGGGAAATAACACTCACCTGCTTCGGGATCACACTCAAACTCAGACATCTGGATAGAGGGGAGCTTCATGCCCGCTGCATCAACAGCACTGTCTGCCATACTGTCTCGTGATGAAGACGACTGGTCGATATCCTTCTCGATAGGGAAGTTGTTGAGACTTCCGGTTTTTGCGTACGATCCTTCATAATTGCGGAACCTGGAGGGACGGTCAGACCATGGTTCATGGAGTTGTGTCAATGACTGGAGAGTCACTTACCAGACGAAGAACTCGAGATTCTCGGGCGAGAACTCGATGTACTTGAGGTACATGTAGAAGTCATACAAGGACATTGGCGAGCCTTGAGTGGAACGAAGATTAGCTTTGGGCCATATGATCGGTCGCAGCGTGGCTTGAGAGGCATGCTTACAGGTCTGGTTGTTCAGAACCCTCTCCAAACTTAAGCGTGCTGGAATAGGACTCTTGTCTCTCCCGTCCCTGCTCAGGGGCCTTCTTCCAGTCCGGATGGCGGTGGCATACTCCTTGAAGTCTCTGTACTCCGGCTTCTTGTACCAAATCAACCAATCGGGAAACAGGCTTGAGATCTTGGATGGTTTCGCTGTGGTATCCTCCTCCTCCCTCTTGGTATTCCGTTCCTTGGCGGCGTCCATGTTGAGGAAATCGTGTTGAAGAATGTATAGATGTTGTGTGTACGACCGAGTTGTGTCGAAAGGAGACCAGATAGGGCAGAGACAAGGGACGCCTTGACTTTGACGGCGGACGAACCTTCCCCATCATATATCAGAGTCTTCTCCATTTTAGCGCCATTCTATATCTGCATGTGCCGCGGGGCGCTCGATGCAGGCTTGCAGCAGATCAGACCGGGAGTCCCACGACTGATTCCATGTCAGGGCCATTTGGCTCGACCAGGCTGAGAGATAGCTCCACCTACTCCAGGTCTGCTGCAGACAAACTACGCACAATGCACAGACAGTCCCGCCAGTACCGCACACTGAAGAACGAGTCGAGCGGGATGATTCGGTCAGTAGCATCCATTAGGGTGCTTTGCAGACGCCCAGTCGGCATCGAAAGCCTCTTGTCTCTCTCCTCCGTCCGGTCGTGTCTCATGACGACTGGCCAATGGCGGTGGGAGCGGAGGAAACGCCACGGCCGGCTGGTTGTGAAAGAGGCTTGCGCCCTTGAATCCAAACTTGGGATGCCTCGAGACGTAGGGGATTTCGAACGAGTCGGCGAACCAACCAATTCCAGCGTGGACGAGTCAAAGCGGCTTGGTGTCAAGGTACCTTTTTCTAGTATGATAGTTAGCGCCTTGCACTACTCTGCGTTGGGCTGGAGAATTCCTCACGCTGGTGCCAGATTTTGCAGCCAGTCCTAGTGCTTCATGGCAATGTATTTGTGGAGGAACCCTTGGATGAATGAGAATCCCTCGGATGCGGCGAGACAGGGAACCCGCAGCGTTAGTTTCCTCCGTTGGTGAGGTCTCGCAGCCAATCCTGCTTGTGTCCGTGTGGTGGAGGGTTTGGGCCGATCAGAATCTTGTTTGTCTTTGCCAATGTCGACAGGAGCAAACAAAGGAATCGACAATTTGGCCCCCTTGGCCCCCGTAGCAGACTCCCAAATCCGGCCGCGTTTGCTGTACGTAAGCTATGAATGGGCGGGCTGTCAGATTGTGCCGACCCAGTAATCAGAGTTCGAGGCATGCTCGAAGACCGGGGATGCCAGAGTCATTGTCAAAGGATGAGTAGATTAGCGGAGCAAAGATCGGAAATTCTTTCGCCATTGTTCTCATCCTCTTCGTTGGAAAGGTGAGGCGGTGCAGGATTTTCTTCTGCCCGCCGAGGATGACAATGACCAGGACGAGGGCGGGTTCGAGGATGACGGGAACGTGCACACGCACACACACAATGAACGCAGAGCAGGATGTGGAGAGATTGCGGTGCTCTGCAGACGGATACGGAGGGCCGACGGAAGGATTTGGTGATAGGCAAGGCTTGGGCGGGACGATCTCCTCGTGGGATTCTTCAGGTAACCGGACCGACCTATGCTGCTTCGCGCCTTAGCTCCAGAGGAACAAATTCTTATCGACGGCGCCAGATGCGGTGATGCGGAGAGAAGCTTGGGAAGATGCAAGGTTACCACGTGGGAGAGAGACGTCGAGCTTGGAGACGCAGGGGTCGCAACCCAAGAGTTGGTGTGCATTGGTCGTAAGGGAGAAGGCGGCGCGGCACTTGGGGGGGCAAGCTGGCGAATTAAGCAGCGAGCACGGGAGATTTGGGGATGAACCTGCGCAAGGGCCGCCTGCCCTGCCTTAACATTTTTAGCCACAGCACTGTAAGGTCCGCAGTACGTACTGCACGTACCTTTTGTTCCGCGATACCTCCCTTTTCGGCCTCATTTCCTGCCTGAGGTGACGGGAGTTGAGTGCACTGAAATCGATAGGGTACGTATTCGGGCGAGGTATCTTATCCCCGATGATCTTCGGCTTCCTCTTCCTCCTCCTCTGCAACCGTCTTCCACCACGTCGTTTCGTGTCCATCTCCCTACCTGAACCCAGCGTCACATTTCAGCTGATAACGCTGCTGCAGTCGATCATCTGTGCCGTACGCTTGGATTTGCATTTCGCATTCTCTCCGCTGCAAACACGGGCCATTGATTCTCGCCCCTGGACTGTTCGACCGGGACACCACCCAATTCTCTGGACGTGCAAACAGGAACATGGCCTTCCGCACCAACATTGACGGCCATCCCATCACTTGGTCCAAGCAGACCAGACAACGAGCAGCAAGCAGCAAGCAAGAGCGTTTGCTCTCTCAAGTAAGGAGTCTGCTGCCGATCAGATTAATTGGGATTAGCCTCGGCAAGGATTATGCAGCTATCGTACGAGTGAGACACGAATTATCGATTCACACCAAGCTGACTTTGCCCACTTGCTGGCACTTGAGAGTCATGCAATTTTCAACACTACGGCATATTTGCCCTTTTCTCCCAAGTCCCCCATCTCTTAACCTCCCGGCCGCCCTCTTCGCTGGTTCCCATCCCTTTGAAGATGTCTCTCCCTACGTCTAGCTAACCAATATCCTTCATCTATTGAACTAGGTCACGCACTTCACCTGAGGGGTAACACCACACTGCTGCTTTAGCTTCGAGTCGCATGGGCTGATAAA